ACCGCGGTACCTCAAGCTGTGGGAGGTGAGCAAACAGTGTGCCTTCCCTCCTCTCACCCTGCTCAGCCCCTCATGACTTGTTTCATAAATCTCTCTCTTTTTAACCTTTTTTATTGTCTATCTAATCGCTACTTAGATTTTCTGTCTCCATGTAAAAAGCGCTGAGTCTGCACCGTTCCGACTCACCATTGTCCCTGCACTGCTCCCCGTGCTATGCCCCTGTCACCTCTTCAGGGCACGCTCATGGGCCAACGCAAGGACAAGTCTGTTGAGATTTGCCGCATGGAGGTGAGATCTGCTCCTTCTCTTGTTCGCTTACTTGTTCGCTTTCTCTAGGCCTATGGTGACGTTCTTATACAGACCAAGGGGCTTGGCAGTTGGAAGTACCCTATGAAACAAGGGTTACAATTTACAAACTGGAAAGCTCGGCCCAATTCGTTCATACACTGCAAGGGCCAATCGCTAGGCGGTGAGGTAGATGAACAGAATCCTAGTGGGGTGTTGGCTTCGAGGATTTTTTCTCTTTCGTACAACATTTTGCAAAACACTGCCGTTGTCTTAGAAAGGCTCAGTGTAGGGTGTTGGTCGGAAGGACTCTGTTGCTTTTCCCTGAAAACTGACAAAGGCTGCTGTCCCAGGAGACTCCACAGATTCTCGTTTGTTCATTTACTAAGTGCGTTATCTATCATTTTTTCTGGTTCTAAGCATAACTTACGGTTGACCTTGACTAATCGCTTTCGTTCCCTCACTTGTTTGACAGTCCCTGCTCTCAAGTGTTGTTATTCATGCAAAGAGATCTTCGCTCCAGCAGCAAAAATGAAAGTCTCGGATTTCAAGATATGTCAACCATGTGCTTGCATGTGCCATCCATGTGCTTGCATGTGCCATCCATGTGCTTGCATGTGCCATCCATGTGCTTGCATGTGCCATCCATGTGTTTGCATGTGCCATCCATGTGCTTGCATGTGCCATCCATGTGCTTGCATGTGCCGTCCATGTGCTTGCATGTTCCATCCATGTGTTTGCATGTGCCAACCATGTGCTTGCATGTGCCGTCCATGTGCTTGCATGTGCCGTCCATGTGCTTGCATGTGCCATCCATTTGCTTGCATGTGCCATCCATGTGATTGCATGACTGGCAGGGTTACCACCAAGCAACCTCTCCTCCCAAGTATGTCTCTGAAACATCCTCGATTCAATGCACTACTGAAACATTTTCAAACATGAGCCGTTTTTCATCCCCATTCTGCGAGCTACCAAACACTCGGTTATGCCAATCGCAATTGCAGCTCCATAAAGCTGAACTATCTTCTTCATTCTCACTCTGTGCTTTGGTGGTTATTGTGTTGCTGGCTTTTGTGTTTTCAATCACATGCCTCGCATCACTCTCTTCCCTCCGCACTCGCACTCACAGCCTGGCAGCAGACTGGCCGGACACAATGCAGATAGTGCGGCTGGTGTCCCAGGAGTGCATGAACAATAAGTGAGTCACAGTGCAGTGCAGCACAGCACACGCAACATGCATCGCACATAATAGACGTACATCCTCAACGTAGGTACACTTGAAGTTGTATGTCAAGGAAAGCAGTAAGAAGCATTCGGTGCTACAGGTCATAACATCCATAAGAGGTAATTCGACAAAAATATGAGAACCAATTAATCTGTTCCAGTCGCCCGCACTTGGATGCTAGCAAATCCTTCTGCTTCAACATGCTGCTTGTCTCTCTTGCTTCCCTTCCTCGCTCTCTCCTTCCTCCCAACTCTCCCGTTGACTAACCTGCCCCCAGGGAGCTGGCAGGAAAGGCGGAGCTGCTGGTGTTCCGGCCCATGTCATCCCACGTGTTCCTGCAGCAGATGGCTGAGAAGAAACTCGTGAGTGCAGCAGATGGCTGAGAAGAAACTCGTGAGTGCAGCAGATGGCTGAGAAGAAACTCGTGAGTGCGCCAGTTACATGACAGCTCGCAGCTTCTGTGGGAGCAATGTGCCTTGCATTGCAATGCTAGGCAAACCCTCGAATATGTTCCTAAGGAAGATTGCTCGAAAGGAATACGTGAGGTGTTGAGTGAGGCATTCGAGGGTGTGAGAGAGAGGGCATACATGAAGCATTCCATTCATACAAGTGGTGCTTTGTGCTTCCATGGTTCTCTGCCTTGCACCATCCCCGCCATGATGCATCACACCCCCGCACTTTCATTCGACACACACACGTATCCAGCATCCATCTCCCCCGTCATCTCATGCACTCGTGCCCGCACACACGCAAACTGCACAACCCACTCATCCCTCCTCTCCCCCTCCCCCCCTCCACACACACACACACATGCTTGCAATTGTTTATGTTCATGTGCCTCGTCACTGTGGATTCATGTGCACGTATCCATTTGGCCATGCATGCACATGCATCCATCAGTGCACTGTTATTCAGCTGCCGTCTCAAACCCTACTCCTCGGCACGGTACCGGACCGCTCCAGCCGCCTTGTTGGCATGCTCTTTCCCAAGGTAATTCACTCACGTTCTCCGTTGTTTTAGCGTCTTCCAAATTGTTCCTCGCTGTAAACTAGGACCAAGACTCCATCTCAGCAGCAGGGTGGGCTTTCCTTCTGAAATGCTCACCACGCGAATTGTTTGAAAGATGGCACACCACGTGCATGGCACAGAGAAGTGGGGTCCCCTTCGTTTCTCACCATGCCCCTGCATCCCCTGGGGTCCCCCTCTTTGCTTCCCTTTGCTATTTCTTTGTTTGTCCTCTCTGCTTCTCCTCTTCCTTCCTGTGTAGTGTTTGCCTCTCTCCACCGTTTCTGACATCCGGCATTCCGCTATCTCTGTTTCTTTTCGCAACTGTGCTCTGCCACTACCTTGTGGCTGTGCCATGCCCCCATGACATGACAGGACATGGTGCAGTTCCAAGGGGCCCGCCCTCCACAACAACAACAGCCGCCGCCGCCGCAGCAGCAGCAACCGATGCAACAGTAACAGTCGCAGCAACAGATACAGCAGTTGTGGCAACAATTGCAATTGCACACGTATCACAAGTAGCGATCAGGTTCCGTCATGTGGTGTTTTCACACTGCTGTAGTGTTCTGGATAACATGTACCAGTGTGGATGCGATTCATCAGCTGCATTGTGATACCTCCTGTTTTTTTAAATAACATTTTTATATGTACGCAACACGTCCTGCTCCAATATCTTCTTTATTGAGCTAGTAGCATTCATAAAGGATCTGTGATGTTCCTTCACTGATCATACGGTAACACCCTCCCACGTATCCATCTCCATTTCCTTCTCTTTTCGAATCAGCAGCTTTCATTGCTCTTGGATTAACCGAAAAGTTTTTCAAGTATTCCTTAATCATGTAGTGATTCATCAGCCTCATTTCGAGGATGCATTCTCCCACGTTATTGTGACATACCGGTACTCGTACAACGTTTGCGGGAATGGGGAGGTGGAAGATCAACATTCGAGTGTCAACTGTATGGTTTCCGCCAAACATTGGAATATTAAATCCTACTGTACCAACGCATGTGATATAGTTAGAGATAAGAGTATACCATGCAGAGTAGATGCAGATGGAACTCCATCAACTCTCGAAACCACTGCTGCGATCATCTTATAGAAACAGTGACACCTTCGCCCTTGCCACCAACAATCTTACATAGAGACACTCTCAATGCATGACACCCACCAACAATTGTGAGATCCACTCGGTCCTAGGTAAGAACCTACTGACTGCACCTCGACCTCCCTCGTACTCACAAAAACCTGTACAAAAAACCGAGCCACGTTATATGTGCTTGATGTGCTCATCGAGATCAGGATTGTTGGCAAAGAAGATAACAAACTCAGTCACACAGCAATGAAAAAGCCCCCGCATCACCGAGACGCATCGCAATCAATAAGCTCTTCAATCAAGTGGCCTCCTTGGCCCCCGTTGTGTTGGAAAACTCGGCCGCTAACCACTGAGATGACAGGGCTTATTCCATAGCGGGTGAGCGTGCCCATAACCCCCAGCCATCCTTGCCTGTGACCTTTTTACCAGGTTCTTAGGCCGTTACCAGTTTTCCTCCAACACGCCAATGGGGCCTTATGCCCAGCTTCAGTACTGCTGCAAGCATAACTGTCTTGCATTTTGCTATGGCAGCTGACAAATCTCCCGCCCAAATTGAAGACGTAGGTAGAAGAGCTCCTGTCGCCAGCCTCCCTAGCCCAATTTGAATGAAATGTACCCAATAATTTTTTCACCATCCAACTCCCACCTACGTAATGACACGAACAAACTTCTCCTGTCCAATCTCCAACCACTACCCTTAACTGACCTGCTAACCTCCACACCGTAGATGCTCACCAAGATTCTTCATATGGAACTTTCCAACAAGCACCATATTGACCTTACCAATTAGCTAAAAGCATGGAGACATACGCAAGACATCGTACACAAGCTTTCATCCATAGATATTATCCACAGGGCCTTATCGCACGCATGGCAAATAAACCCTGCTGTAATCAAGTGGTACCAATCTCCTTATTCCATGCACGAGGTGCTTGTTTGAGCTCATAGAGAGCCTTGCGCAAGCGATACGCTCTACATGTATATCATCAAATCCATATGCTGCTCCATGTACACGTCCTCCTGGCGGACTGTATCGATGTAGGCATGTTCAACATCCTCGCATTGTACATGCCAACCTTTAAGCAAGAAGCATTCAACCTGAGGCGAGCTTGTCCAAAGGGACAAATAACTGATCATAATCCTTCTCGGCCTCCTGAGTGAACCTCTTAGCAACAAAGGCTAACCTTGTGCCATACCACCTTCGTGTTGACCCTTGGTCAATGTGTCGAACCTTTCGGCGGCACACACTATGTCTCGGTATCTATTGTAATTCGCCACGATGACCTATCGGCAAATTCCATTTTTCAGCCCAGCACTGTACACTTGATTTTTGTGAAAGGAGATTACGGGGGATGGTTGCACTATCGAGAAAGTTGGGTACAAGTAACAAAACCTATACCCTACATTAGCTACCCCACTAAAGCCTACATTTTATTATGACACAGGCATATAAATTGACACACCCCCATAGGCAAAGTGGGGAGAGCAAGGGGTCACAAGACCAGTCAAGAGAAGCAAAGCAAGCTCAGGGTGGATCCCAACGTCACCACACATTCTGAGCAAAGGTTCAAGGCCTCAAGGCCGGTTCACATGCAGGATGATATATAGAGGTAAACAAACAAGAGCAGATATATATAAGACACAGTACAAGCAAGGTCAAGAAGTGAGCAAGTGAGGCCAAGTAGGCACAAGACCTAGCATAGTACAAAAGCGCTGATGATCGCAAGGCGGAAGAGCCTTGGTGAAGATATCAGCAGTGTTGGCCCGAGTGGCCACGTAAGCAAGGCGTAGCTGACCACGCTGCTGCAGCTCACGAGCAAGAAAGTAGCGAAGAGCAATGTGCTTCGTTCTGTGCTCCAGTCTGTGCTCCCGGAGGCGGTTCTCCCAGGTCAGTCAGAAGGAAAGTCAGCCAGCGTAACTCCTGTGCAGCCATGGCTCCTGCGTAGATCTCAGCCTCACAGCTGGAGCTGAGAACAGAGGACGAGCGGGTAGACCGCCACGAAACAGAGCCGGAGCCAAGGCTGAAGGTGTAACCCTGTGACGACCGCTGTGTAGCCAGGTCGTCAACCCAAGACGCGTCTGCGTGACCAGTGAGGACCACTGGACTCTTCCCTCCAAGCACTAGCCCCATGCCCAACGTACTGCACAAGTAGCGCAACACCCTCTTCGCTGCAGCCATGTGCTCTGGTCGGTGTCTCCCAGGAGCAACATAGCGTGCCAAAATGCTAAGAGGGTAGGCCAGGTCAGGTCGAGTGCAGGTCATCAGGTACATGAGGCAGCCAACAAGCTCTGGGTATGGGCCACTCGGCTCTACGGACTCATCCGAAGGCAGAGCTGAGAGCGAGTGGCGAGTAGACAGAGGAGTGGCCTGAGGCGAGGAGTACGTGAAGTCGAAGCGCTGAAGGACCTGCTGCACCATGTGTGACTGAGACAGTGTAATGGTGCGTCGTGCTCTGTCCCGGGTGATCTGCAAGCCGAGGTAGCTGCGCAGTTCACCCAGGTCTGTGCACGTGTGTCGCTTCTGCAGCTCGGACTTCACGTGGGCGAGTCCAGCAGTGTCAGCTGTAGCGAAGACCAAGTCGTCGACGTAGACGAGGATGTAGAACGGCGGCAACGAAGTGTCGGTGCGTAGAAACAGCGACGGGTCAGCAGTCAAAGGAGCAAACCCAAGAGCCGCAAGCGTAGTCCTCAGTGTGTCGTGCCACTCACGGGGTGCCTGGCGGAGACCGTAGACTGGCCGCCGGAGGCTCCACTGGGTACCAGGAGGAAACGACCCAGTGAAGCCAGGTGGGCGGCGCAGCCAGATCTCCTCGTGTAGGCTGCCCTGTAGGAAAGCTGTGCTGAAGTCAAGCGAGTGAAGCTCGTAGTCACGGTGAGCGGCAACGTGCAGTAGCACCCGAAGAGTGGTCATCTTCGGGGTGGGAGAGAAGGTCTGAAAGTAGTCAACTCCCTGCCGCTGACTGAAGCCTCGAGCCACGTAACGCGCCTTGAAGACAGGCGGAGAACCCGGCGGCCGCTTCACCCTGAAAATCCACATGCCACTGACGATGTTCGCCCCAGGTGGGGGAACCTCGTCAACGTAGGTGCCTGTGGACTTCCAGGAAGCCATCTCTGCGTCCATGGCTGCCTGCCACTGAGAGGAGTAGGGACCCTCTATCGCCTCTGCGTAAGAGCGCGGAGTCGGGATGTCAAGTGCATCCCGGAGGACAGACAGACTCAGACTCAGCAACAAGACTAGTGGCGTAGTCTAGACGACAGGCAGCAGCAAAGTCAACAAGCTCAGCGACCAAGGCAGACGCAGCAGTAGACTCAAACGACGGGTCAGTGACAATAGTGGCTAACAGACACGTGACAGTAGGGTGCTCAGCACGAAACCTGTCAGTCTCAGGGTCCAGAACGGTAGGCAGAGAGGACGCAGGGGGAGACGGCAGAGGAACAGGCTGCGGAGTAGAGGAAGGACGACGGACAACAAGGTGTGCGCTGGGGACAGCCGGCTGACGCGAACGAGGAACACGACGACTGGTACGACCAGAACGAACAGGCGAGACAGGACGCGACGCAGGCTCACGACGCTCAGCAGGACTACCTGTCTGCTCAGTGTAAGGAGAGGGAGCAGGCAGCGGTGAGCCAGTCTGTAACGGAAGACCAGTAGACGACGGGAGAGTAACAACCTGACGAAGAACAGAGTCAGGCGGCGGCAGAGACGACGGAGACGGCGGAGCGAAGAACAGTCGTGTCGGCGCAGTAGCACCAGTACCAGCAGCTCCAGCACCTCCAGCAGCTCTAGCGCCTCCAGCAGCTCTAGCGCCTCCAGCCGCTCCAGCACCTCCAGCAGCTCCAGAAGCTCCAGCCGCAGAACCAGTACCTCCAGCGCCAGCACCTCCAGACTCA